TCACCAGTGTGTGAATGGGTGGATGACTGGATGTGTAAAGCGCTTTGGGGTCCTTAGGGACTAGAAAAGCACTATACAAATACAGGCCATTTACCATTTATTTGCCAACCCTGTTAATGGGGAAGTAAAACCACATTCCAAAGATCAACTATCAGTTATAGCTCCGTGAATGCACAGTGCAGTTTAACACCGCCACAAAAATAACACTATGCTTCTGATCTAAAAAAAAAAATGGACTGGATTATTTTCTTTTCACATTACATGCATTTAGTCTTTGAGTGACCGATCGCTTACAAATATGACAAATTTATTTCCCCTTTCTTGTGCTCAAATAATAATATCCTTTGCCTAGATTTCCTTTGGGATGCTGCTGATTTTAAAATGAGATATGCTGTTCTGTTCTTGCATAAGGGAAAAGAAGAACAGCATAGATGCATTAAATTAATGGACTAATATGTTAACATTCAGTTCATTAAATTTATTTAACACCTGTTCACAATGCCAGTGAGCCCAAGGAGCTTTATATTTTAAGGCACAGACTCTGCACAGAGACATATCTAATGATGAGACATCATCTTATTAGGACATTTTGGAAAGGTGGAAATGTAAATAAAGTATAAATAATGGATGCTTCAGGGCACAGTGATTTTAGGTGAAAACTTTTAAGCAAACTAGAAATAGAAGTATGTTTACATTATGCTAGTAAATTATAAAATACAAAATTAACACATCCCACAAAAGTCAGCTTTATTTCCTACATAAAATTACATGCACAATGTACACAGATGTTACAGATCATTTGAGCTGTCATTGTGATGTCATTGATGCATCAAACAACTCTATACAAAACTTGTTGTGTTTGACTGAACATTTTGTGTTTCACAAAAAATAATTTTTCTGGAAGATACAACTTTTGAACTAATTAAGAAAAGAAAATAACAGAGAAAAACTGTAACATCAAAACAAACAGCCACAATAAAATCACAGCTTATTTCTCCATTAAACCTCTAGAAATTTAAATTTACTATAAAAGCAAAGTCAACCACTAAAATCCAACAAACAAACAAATAAAAAAAAGGATAATAATATAATCTTGTTATTGTGCCTTTTTCCAGGGGTGGAATATATAATTGGCTATTTGGTTTCAACATGAAGATATTGTGCCACAAGTAAACCCTGTAACTACAGCTGTCACAAACAGGTATTAACAGCGTTTATCTTAAAGCTAAATAACACATCAGACGTAAATAATTATGCAGATATACCTGGATTACATATTACTCTTTTGTCAATATTTGATATATAAGCTGAAAAAGCATAAATGAAAACTGAAAATCTGCAACCAATAGTAACCAAACAATGTCAAGTATTCAAATGCAAGAAAATACATTTGATTACCTCACACCATTTACATTTTCTGCTAATGTTAGAAGTTTACATTTTGTCTGGAAAGCATTTATACTGACACTTCAGTTTAAAACAGATTCATTTCACTGTCAGTGCAGTTCCATGTTTCAATTTTGCAATACATGCAGTCAGGGCTGGACTGGGACAAAAAATTGGCCCGGGCATTTTGACTAGAGACCGGCCCATCAGGTATTATAGGAAAAACCATAAAGCCTTTGAATGAAAACAAACGCTGTTGTCACAGTGATGTACACTGTCTTGTTGATATATATGTATCAGTCTAATAAACTTAAACCTACACCATCCTCCCTATTCTGGTATTCCAAACAGTACCGGAAAGTAGACTGCTTGGTCGAGTTAACCTCCTGAACTATCTACAACACATGGTGAAAACCTGAAATTAAGACAGAGAAGACTAGAGGTGAGACATGATCATTATTGAATACTGATGACAGATTTAGATATATTTTCATAAACCATTCATTTTCCACATCAACAAACAGCATGGCAGGGCAAAATATTTTTTCTAACATGGCAACCTTTAAAAAGTGAAAGGAGACAGAAAGACAGGTGAGAAAGAATAAAACTTAATTGACTTTTTGATGGCATTTTACACACAGTACTGGTACAGTATCTAGAAAATGTGGGAAAATACTGGCATCTTATACAATACAGTACACTACTTCTGAAGAAATTATGATGGGACCATAAAATAAATTACTATGTACAATAATGGATTTCTATA